CATGTTTTAGTGATTTCTCTGTCTAATAACAAAAACAATATGAAGTTAACTAATATATTTCTGGTGCGTAGTATGCCCCAGGCACTGTGCTGAGCACTTTATCTCCTTTAACTTCTACACCAACCCTGTGAGGCACATCTTAGCGTGCCTCTTTCCATAAAGAAATTGAGGCTCCAAAAGCTAAACAGCTTGCCTAGAGTCACATAGGTAGGAAGATGAGTTCACAGGCAAACCCAGGTCAGTCCAAATCCAGAGCCCTGTATTGTGGATGCTCAATATACATATACGTATACGTATATATATATATATATATATATATAGGAATACTTAAGTCAATTAACTTGTTAATAAGTGTGAGTGATCTATGTGATCATGAAGTTACAGAATTCAAAAACCTTAAAAGTCTTCCATCTCTTCTTAGCACATAATAATCCTGACTTCAGTGCAAACTGGGAAATGCTTCCAATCCTTTCTGCTGGAGCTTGTCTTATCTCCCCATATTGTACTCAAATTCATATGTACCAAGACTTTAAATATGCATTAATATTCTAGTGTCATTAAGGATTCAGGGGCTGTCATTCACTGCTGTTGGAGAGTATGTATTGGTAAGGAAGGCAATTTGACAATATGTATCAAAAGTCTAAAAACAGGAAGGTACACATGGGGTTATCATGAGTTGGCATCCACTCCACAGCAAGTAACAACACACTTTAAGCCAGCATTTCCACTTTTAGGAACTTATTCCAAGTGGATTATAAGGGAGAGATTTGTTAAGATTTATCAATAAAAGTATCCATTCACCTTGTATAATAGAAAAAGAAAACCTAATTATCAATAGTAATTTTGGTAAATTATTGTACTTATCTGTGCTATAGGAGCACTCATGGCGCAGTGGTTAAGAGCTTGGCTGCTAACCAAAAGGTCAGCAGTTTGAATCCACCAGCTGTTCCTTGGAAACTCTATGGGGCAGTTCTACCTGTTGGGTCTCTCTGAGTCAGAACTGACTCGACGGCAATGGGTTTTTTGTTTTTTCTACGCTATAATTCTATACCACTGAAAACCTTGAAGAGGAAAAAAATGACATAGGAAAATGTTCTCAATAAATTAAATGAAAAATGGTTACAAAGTATTATCTCCATTAAAGTTTAAAGCATGTATGTCGATTGATATTCGTCATAATGCTAAAAGTGATTTAATCTGAAAAATGGAATTGTGGGTAGTTTTTATTTTCTTCTTTTTTGTTTTTCCAGTTTTCTTCATTAACTATTTCGTTTGTAATTCTAAAAATATTGTTATAGAAAAAACATCCTGGTGCAGCTTCGTCTGCTGAAAGTAGGCTTTCCCCCTGCCTAGGGTTACAACAAAATCAAACCCTCAAGTCTTGTATGAGATATACAATAATAAGCAATAAAAATAAAAGACAAAATAATTTGTAAATTTTTATTGAAGTATAACATACATGCAAAACAGTGCACATACTACAGCCCACTGAATTTTCACAAACTGGACAAAGTCATTGCAACCAGCATTGCAAACAGAACATTGCCAGAACCCCAGAAGCCAGCCTTATGCCCTCTTCTACACCCCACCTCCCTGCAAGGGTAAGCACCATCTTGACTTCTATCACTATAGCTTAGTTTCTCCTGTTTGTAAACGTAAGTGAAATACAGTATATACTCTTTGGCTTCTGGCTTCCTTCACTGAGTAATATGTTTGTGGGATTCATTTAGGTCATTGCATGTAATAGACCATTCATTCTCATTGCTGTATAGCATTCCATTGTGTCCATCTATCACCATTTATTTATCAAACTGTTAATGGGCAATTTAGAGATATGAACAAAGCTGATACAATCTCTTGGTAAACATACGTATGCATTTGTTAGGTATACACCTAAGAATGGGATTGCTGGGTGACAGATTAATTTATCATATTCTTCTCCCTGATCAACACTGCCTCCAGCCCATCACATAATTTGCATGGTTTATAAGGTATGCATATGCCCTTGCTGATGTGTTCATTTTAATCTTCTGTCATTTTGGCATGTGTCCTGCAAAACAGCAACTTTCTTCTCTTGGGTTTCTGCACATTGTGGAGGAGGGGGTGTGGTCTTCAATGATGTTAACAAGTTATTCTGAACAATAATTAGTGGATTCAGCTGCCTAGATCAATATACGTCAGGTGTTTTATATTTAAAATTTCCCATTGTTCTACAACGTGTTCTTGTGAAACTGACTCTTCTCTCTGGTCAGAGAACAAAACAGGTGACTCCCCAGAGCACTGGCACCTGCTGCACCTCCCAGGGGGACAGATACCAGGTCTCAGGCATGAGTTGCTTCACCCATGGCTTCGGCAAAACTGTGCTCCCACCAAGGGTAGGCTGGGGGTGGGAGCTCTCTAAGAAACGGGACTCTTTCTTAGTCTCCGAATCTGCAATCATTAAATAGGTTTTTAATAAGTGTATGAAGCCATGAACATATTTATTTCCCATCAGACTGATTTTTGAGAGCAGGGACAAGGTCATCCCCACCCCTGGATTCCCAGCACCTAGACAGGGCTTCCAACCGATTTGTTTCTGGTTCAAACTGCTGCTGAAAATTTGCATTTCTAACAAGTTCCCAGGCCATGCGAATGCTGCTGGTTAGGGACCAATTCTGGTTCTCAAAATTTATTATACAGAAGAATCATCCGAGGATCTTGTTAAAATGTAGATTCTGATTCAGTGTATGTGGGGTAGAAACACAGATTCTCAGCAGGGGTTCAAACTGATAGGAACCAGTTCGAAGCCCTGCACCTAGCATAGTGCTTGCATATCACAGGGGCCCAGGAAGTGTTAAAATCTATACTTTCTGTTAGAAACGGATAGAAAGAATCTACTGGATAGTTGGCCAAAAGTAGTCAGTTATTGAGGAAAAAAATCTTTGTGGAACTGAGCTTGACCGTTGATATGTCCATGGCTAAACAAACCCTATCCTATGGAACGTTCTACAGCAGTAAACAACAATGAAGTGAATCTTTGCACACTGACATGGGAAATGCTTCATTTGTTTTTTAAAAAGCAAGTTGCTCAAGGGGGCTGGATGATCCCTGCAACTATTACCCTAAGATAATATTTAAAACTTGAACCAAAAATATCCCCTGAAGTCTTCTTAAAATCAAACAACAGTTTAGCTTGACTAGTAAAAAATGTCTGCCTTGAGCATTATGCTTTTTTAAGAACTATATGGGATCAAAGTGACAACAGCAACTCGAAAGATTAGATAGAACCTTAGGGGGCAGTTAGCTTATGTTAATGAGGAACATAACACGAATATTATCAATGTCACTGAATTGTACATGTAGAGATGGTTGAATTGGTGTATGTTTTGCTGTATATATTCTTAACAAAATAAAAAAGCAAGTTGCAAACACCACATAGGGATAAACATCTTATGGTTTAAAAAAAAAAAAAAAAAGACAAAACCCACGTTTCTAGAGAGACACACACCTATATGTAAATGCAGAAAAAAAGGTCCAGTAGGTTACACACCAAACTGATAAGCTACTCCAGAAGAAATACGGGGTAGTGTCAAGGAAACTGAGCTTTATCTAGAATGTTTTGAATTTTTTCCAGGATTACATTCGTGTATTATTTATGTAAATTGTGGTAAAAATTGACGTGCATTATCCTGTAATACTGGCTCTATTTTTACCAGTTTCTCTACTACATCAAGACGGAACTGTTCGTAAAAGGAAAAACAGACCTCTCTCTAGTAACTAGCAGTAGACTCCTGACTACTTTCTCCCCCTAAACATAATGAAAAATGTAGAGAAAGGTACAGATCCTGTAAAGAAGCTCGGCCAGGGCGTTCTAGAGTTTTCTGTGAAGGGAGGCCAGGCGTTGATTTAGGGAGGGGAAAAAGACAACTGATTTCCAAATTTAAGAAAAGTGCGCTCCGAACTGTAAAGTAACAGGAGCGCCAAGTACCTGCCCGAGGTGCTTTAATTCGATGACTGAAACAGGAGCAAGGGAAGATTTACAACATTTAATGGAACAGAAATATGAGGCAGTGCGTGAGACATTATGCTCAACCAATTATATAGCCTCACAAATAAAAGTGTCTTTTGTTGTTGTAAGGAGCTCTGATGGAATAGTGGTTAAGAGGTCGGCTGTTAACAAAAAAGTCGGCGGTTCCAATCCACCAGCCGCTCCTTGGAAACCCTTTGGGGTAGTTCTACTTTGTCCTATAGGGTCGCTATGAGTCGGAATCGACTCACGGCAACAGGTTTGGGTTTTTGTCGTTGTTGTAGAGCTTTACAGTTTGCAATACTCTCTCATACCAGTGGAGCTTAGAGTCAAGGCCAAATTCTGCCACTAATAAATTGTGTAATCTCCGACCCATCAGTGAACATCTTTTAACAAAACAAAGAGGAGTTGGGGTGAACGGAGCCTGAAGCGCCGACATTCTCTCATTTCTAGCCAAAGCCTAAGGCAGTTGAAAACCAACCGGCAAGCAAGCGCCTCTTCCGCTTGGCTGCGGTGGGGGTGTGGGGAGGAACGCCCATCATTTTCATTCTTCGGCCGGAGCTCCCCAGGTGTCCAAAAGAAGAGGTCCCAGCCCGAGACTGAGCGTGTATCCCCTGCCCAAGACACCACTCACCCCCAAGCCCCGCAGGGATGCATCCAGCTCCAGGCTGGAAAAAGGTCCCACGAGTGACCGGGGCCGGCGCTGAGGAGGAGACAGCGTAACACTTTGGACCGGTGACGTGGCCCAATCCCAGGCAAACGTGTACGGTTTTACCCCGACCAGAGCGCAGGGCCCACCGCCTCCTCCCAGGCATGGGCCGGAGATGGAGAAGGGGCGGGCCTAGGACGTGGCCCAATGGGAGCGCGCGCTGGGGCGGCGGGGGCAGGGCCGGGCGCGCAGCACAGGTCCTGGCAGCTCAGTCTCCAATGAGCGCTCGCCGCGTCCGGGGCCGGCTGGTGCGCGAGACGCCGCGGAGAGGTTGGTGGCTAATGTAACAGTTTGCAAACCGAGGGGAGTTGTGAAGGGCGCGGGCTGGGGGTGCGCTGCTGGCCTCGTGCGTACGTCCGCTGCCACGTTTGTCCTAAAGCTGGGACCAGAGGAACGGAGGCAAGAGGTAGCGGGGGTGGGGATGGAGATGGGCGGCAGCCATACCTCCCGTGGGGAGGCAGTGTGCTAGCTCCGGGGGCAGGTCGGTAGCGGGAGCGAGGGCCCCACTGACGCTGGCCTGTTTGAGCCCAGTACTTTGGGCCCCGCACCTCGGCCCCCGCACCTCGGCCCCCGCACCTCGGCCCCCGCACCTCGGCCCCCGGGGCGCCCACACACGGTAGGAGTTGGTCAGGGCTCGTTTCTGGGAGTGGAAACTGCCGCCTTCGTCAGGTGAGGCTGAGGCGAACAAGGGGTAGTCGGTACCTGCCGGGTGACGAGCCTTAGCGCTCCAGGCACAACCTCTGTGTGGGCGGCGGGGCGCGGTGAGACCACCGGGAGGGATGAGGAGAAGGAGGCAGGCCCTTCCATCCATACCTCCCGAAAGTCACCATCTTTCAATTCCGTCCAGGCCCAGCCTGGCTTTCCCTGCCAGCGAGGGAGCTCCAGGTGCGGAGAGATAGTTGCACCCTGGGCGGGGTTCCCTGGCCGTACCCCAAGTGTCTGACAGCAGGGGCAGTGCTAGGGTGCTCCAGTTATTGCCTGTGGTGGACGAAAGGCTCCAGTCTCCTTCCTTCTGTCCTAGTTTCTTCTCTAGGGAAGGGTGGAACCAAGGGCCCTACACTCTTTGGCTTGGGCCTTTGTGTGGGTACTTCTGGGGATGACTAGAGAGTGGGTGGTACTCATCAGGAAGAAGGAGTGGGGTGTAGGCTGCTCTGCCCTGGGTGAGAATGGAGTAGGTATGACTCTTACAGCTTCTCTCTTCTGGGACATGGTTTTGTCTCCTTCATTCAGTGCATCCAGTTACAAGTGTTTTTTTTTTTTTTCTCCTCCAGGGCCACAATGGCAGCCACAATCAGAAGGCAGACGCCAAGGAGGCCAGCCTTTTGGGTCTTGATGACTGTGCTCTTGGCAAACATGTTGGCACTGAGTGGTGCGTACCCCACCAGAGGAATCGAGAAGAATAAATGATGGGGATAAACGGTTGGAAGGGAGAATGAGGCTCCTGAGTTGGAAAACTCTGGATTCTTGAGTTGCTACACCCGGGATTTTCTTCTTTGTCTTTTACTATCTTGCTTTTCCATGAAAAGTGATAATGCTTTGATTAGAGGGACCTCAGGAAGTTGGGGGAAGAGGATGTGTTAATTGACAAACCTATTTCCTCTTCAGACACGCTGGCAGTAATGTCTGTGGACCTGGGCAGTGAGTCCATGAAGGTGGCCATTGTCAAACCTGGAGTGCCCATGGAAATTGTCTTGAACAAGTAAGGCTGGCCCCATTGTGGGGTAGGGAAAAAGGGCATCTAGGCTCCAACTGGGTGTGTGATCTTAGTGCCCACAGCAGACATGGGTGTCTGAGTAATTGTGGGGGTGTCGAGGCTCCTGAGTCCTCATCCTACTGCAAGTGCATTAACCTTCTCTTTTAGTCACTTGGGCCTAATGTCTTTTCCTCAGGGAATCACGGAGGAAAACCCCAGTAACTGTAACTCTGAAAGAAAATGAAAGATTCTTTGGAGACAGTGCAGCAAGCATGGTGAGTGCTGGGCAGAGAAGAGGACATGATGTAGACCCCAGAGTCTCTTTCCTTTATCAGTCTCTATGATGTTAGAAGCAGGCCATGGTGGGCTTGGCAACCTAATACTCTGTTCCTTCTTCACCGCCTATCAGGCCATCAAAAATCCGAAGGCTACACTGCGTTACTTCCAGCAGCTACTGGGGAAGCAGGCAGATAACCCCCATGTGGCCCTTTACCGGGCCCGTTTCCCAGAGCACAAGCTGGGTATTGACCCACAGAGGCAGACTGCGCACTTCCAGATCAGCCCGTGAGTGCTCTTCCAGGGAAGGCGGGCTCGGCAACCCTGGTGGGCTCCTCATTGGATTTGCTCATGATTTTCCTGCCTTGTGTCTGGCTGTTCTTGCCTCTGACTACCCCCCTCCCACCCTGCAGGCAGCTGCAGTTCTCACCTGAGGAGGTGCTGAGCATGGTTCTCAATTACTCCCGGTCCCTGGCTGAAGATTTTGCAGGTGAGTGGCCAAGGTGGGGCCAGTGGAGGCAGGTTCCCCAGGGTCTAAGGCAGTGGTCCTCAAATGGGAGCAATTTTGCTTCCCAGAGATATTTGGCAATGTCTGGAGACATTTTTGGATGTTGCAACTGGGGAGGTGTTATTGGTGTCTATTGGGTGGAGGTCCGGGATGCTGCTAAACATCCTACAATGCACAGGACAGCTCTCCATACAGATAATTGCCTTAAAATGTCAATAGTACTGAGATTGGGAAATCCTCATCTAAGATACGGAGTTGGCGGGAGCCCTGTTCTGTTGTCCTCTGTAGAGCAACCCATCAAGGATGCAGTGATCACCGTGCCAGCCTTTTTCAACCAGGCCGAGCGCCGAGCTGTGCTGCAGGCTGCTCGCATGGCTGGCCTCAAAGTGCTGCAGCTCATCAACGACAACACCGCCACTGCCCTCAGCTACGGTGTCTTCCGCCGGAAAGATATCAACACCACTGCCCAGGTGAGCCAGGAAGCCCTAACCAGACACACTGGGCAGCTGATTCTGAGGAGAATGTAAGCCACTTGGCTCATTTTGCATCTTGTTTGCACATGCTGGCTTTGGCAAAATTCAACAGCTACCTCCTCTCAGCCCCTGAGGAGCTCTTCTGCTTTAAGTTGAGATTTAGGCAACCCCTTGGAGGCAGGCATGTCGGCAAGCATGCACCCTGGTGTGGGATGAGGTTCCTGTGACCCTTGCCTTGGTGTCTCTACAGAATATCATGTTCTACGACATGGGCGCAGGCAGCACCGTGTGCAGCATTGTGACCTACCAGACGGTGAAGACTAAGGAGGCAGGGATGCAGCCACAGTTGCAGATTCGGGGCATAGGGTAAGCAGGTGCTGGGAGGAGGGGTCATGCTGAGATACTTTTGGGTCGGAGGTTTCTTCTCTGGAAGGGCAAAAGTGCCTCACTTTCCTGCTTCCTGCAGGAATGTTCTCCTGGCTAAAGCATCAATCACTGGGGGGTACCTCTCCTAAACAGCAAAGGGAAGATGGAGATAGTGGGGATGACAGTTGGGGGAGATTGAAAAGCAGAGAACTCCCTGAATATACCTTCTGAGGAATTCCATGATGCTGCGAGCCATATGTAGCATATCAGACTCATTGTTTTTTTGTGTTTTTTTTTCTGTTCTCAGAATAAATAACTATTGTAATTTCTTTTTTTTTTTTTTGTACTTTAGGTGAAGTTTTACAGAGCAAATAGTTTTTTATCAGTATACATACTGTTTCATGACACTGGTCAACAACCCCACAACATGTCAACCCTCTGCCTTCACGACCTTTTTTTTTTTTGGTGAAAATATACATAGCCAAAGATACGCGATTTCAAAAATTTCTGCATGCACAGTTCAGTGACATTGACTACGCTCTTCCAATTGTGCTTCTATTCTCACTTTAAATGAAGATTTACAGAACAAAAGAGTTTCTCATTAAACAGTTAGTACACATGTTGCTCTATGACAATGGTTAATAATTCCACTACATGTCAACACTGTCCTTACTCAACCTTGGGTTCCCTATCACCAGCTTTCCTGTCCCCTTCTGCCTTCTAGTCCTTGTCCCTGGACAGCTGTGCCTCATTAGTCCCATTTTGTTTTATGGGGCCGTCCAATCCCTGGTGGAACAGGGAACCTCGGAAGTGACTTCACCACTGAGCTAAAAGGTTGTCTGGGGGCCATACTCTCGGGGTTTCTCCAATTTCTTTTGGACCAGTAAGTCTGGTCTTTTGTGTGTGTGTGTGTGTTAGAATTTTGTTCTACATCCTTCTCCAGCTCTGTCCAGAACCCTCTGTTGTAATCCAGGTCAGAGCAGTGGTAGCCAGGCACCGTCTAGCTGTACTGGACTCAGTATTGTAATTTATTGTCTTATTTCTTCAACACATCCTTTTCTATCCATCTTAACCACTACTACCCCAGTCCAACCTACCATTACCTCTTACCTGCAGAATTACAAAAGATCCACCTGCTTCCAGTGTGGCCTCCCGCTAGTTCTTTTTCCACATTGCAGTCAGAGTTCTTTTCAAAATCCCGGTTGTCACCTGTTTCTTTAAAAATCCTTCAGTGGCTCCAGACCTTTACCTTGGCCCATGAAGCTGGACCTGTCTAGCCCTGAATCCTTCTACAGCTTCTCCCTAACCCTGAGCAATACTTGCCCTCCTTTGCAACTTAGTATGCTTTTTCTCACCTCAGGGTCTTTACACAGACCGTTCCTCAGTCTAGAATGTTCTTTTCTCTTCACCTAGTTAACTCTTAATTCATCCCTCAGGTTTTAAGTATTATCACTTTTTCAGGGAAGCATTCCTTGATGTCCCTGAATAGCTCAAATTTCCCCTGGCTATGCTCCCATAATATCATTTATCTCTCCTTTATATAACATATGAGGTGGTTGTGATTTCACATTAAATGGTTGTCTGAAGACTAGGTAGTAAACTCCTGAAAAGTAGGGACTCGACTATTTTTTTTTTTTTTGCTCACAATCGTAGCCCCAGAGACAACTCCACAAGAGGTGCTCAGTAAATGCTGTTGAATGATTGGGTAGATGAACCATTACAGTGAGGTGTCAGCTCAGTTGGGGGAGTTGAGGGTAGTGTTTCCACACTTTGGGTGTTGGGGGTAAACAGGGCCCCCTGAAACAAAGGAAAGGTGCCGTGTGGGGATGGACGTCAGGCTTCTCTGTAGATGGAGTCCCATGTGTTCCTCACACTTTTCCCTGCTTCTTTTCCTGAACAGATTTGACCGCACTCTGGGGGGCCTGGAGATGGAGCTCCGGCTGCGTGAGCATCTGGCTGGGCTTTTCAATGAGCAGCAAAAGGGCAAGAGCTCGAAGGATGTGCGGGAGAACCCTCGTGCCATGGCCAAGCTGCTGCGTGAGGCCAATAGGCTCAAAACCGTCCTGAGTGCCAATGCTGACCACATGGCTCAGGTGTCCAGGGATGACTCGTTGAGGGCAAATATTCCCCATCTAGAGAGTGGAGGACCCCACCATCCTGAGCTTGGCTGATTGTGCCTGGTGTGACCCATGCCTCTCTTGGCATTCTTCCTGCCATCCTCCCACACATCTGTCCCTTAGTGTCTGTCTTGCACCCAGAGAGCAGGACCTGGGTGGGAACTCCTGACACCTTTCATCTTCCTTCAGATTGAAGGCCTGATGGACGATGTGGACTTCAAGGCAAAAGTGACTCGTGCGGAGTTTGAGGAGTTATGTGTGGACTTGTTTGAGCGGGTGCCTGGGCCCGTGCAACAGGCTCTCCAGAGTGCCGAAATGAGTTTGGTGAGGGGGTAGTTGGAGGGGTGTGTGGTATGGGGGCAGGAGACAAGTGAGATAGAGGTTGGATGGTGGGGAGGAGGGAATAGAGACATAAGGGAAGTCAGTGCTGAGGAGGTAGGTTCACTGCATGCTGTCTCACCCCGTGTTCTTTCCCCCTGTGCAGGATGAGATCGAGCAGGTGATCCTGGTGGGTGGGGCCACTCGGGTACCCAAAGTACAGGAGGTGCTGCTAAAGGCCGTGGGCAAGTGAGTGTGGGGGCTGGGCGATCTGGGCTGCTGCCTGGGGGCCAGGGCTCCAGGGCTGGGCAACTGGAGGACTGAGGGGAGGGAGTACAGGTGGGGTGCTCCAGGATGGACAGGTGCTGAAACCTGGGACTTTCACAGGGAGGAGCTAGGGAAGAACATCAATGCAGACGAAGCAGCCGCAATGGGGGCTGTGTACCAAGCAGCTGCACTCAGCAAAGCTTTCAAGGTGAAGCCGTTCATAGTCCGGGATGCAGTTGTCTACCCCATCCTGGTGAGTGAGACTGCCTGTCAGGGGACACACACCCTTTAGCTTCCAGCTGTCGTTTCCTCTTCTGTCTGCCCTAGCCTGTCCCTTTCTTTGTGCCGAGAGATGTTCCCCACCCATTCTTACCCCAGAACCTGCTCTGGTTCTCCAGTGCGTCTTCTCTCTGCCTGCCTGCCTGCCGTGTAGGTGGAGTTCACAAGAGAGACGGAGGAGGAGCCTGGGGTTCGCAGCCTGAAGCACAACAAGCGTGTGCTCTTCTCCCGGATGGGGCCTTACCCTCAACGCAAAGTTATCACCTTTAACCGCTACAGCCATGATTTCAACTTTCACATCAACTATGGGGACCTGGGCTTTCTGGGGCCTGAGGATCTTCGGTGAGGGGGACAGGGTGGAAGTCCCAGGGATGGGGGAGGGGCATGGGTGCAAGATGACCCAAAGATGAGGATGAGGGAGGCTTTGGGACCTGAAGGACTGAAACACGAAGCAGGTTGTGGGTTAGGCTTGGCTTGTGAGCTGCTTCGCTGCAGCTCCTTGGGAGGTTCCCTGACATCTCATGCCTGGAGGTTGTGCAGTCTAGAGGTGGAAGTGGGCTGGGTCAGTTCTCTTTCATCTTATCTTTTCTCTACAATCAGGGTATTTGGCTCCCAGAATCTGACCACAGTGAAGCTAAAAGGCGTGGGTGAGAGCTTCAAGAAGTATCCCGACTATGAGTCCAAGGGCATCAAGGCTCACTTCAACCTGGACGAGAGTGGTGTGCTGAACCTAGACAGGGTAAGAGCAGGAGACCCTGGGTACAGGGTGAGGGTCAGGTCCTACTGGCCTCACCCAGTGCCAGTTCCATGTGGTATTAGAACGTGATAAAAGGGTTTTAAAGTCAGGTATATGTTGGGTCTAAACAAAGCTAACCAGGGATCTGGCAGGGGCCTTCTCGTAGCCTTTAAATGCTTACGGGTATTGTAAATTTCTCAGAGGGAAATATGGAATGGTTGCGGAACCCGGTTTTGAAGAACAGTCGGTGGGGGGGTTAATGTCCTTTAGAACATATCTTGGGAAACAATGGCTTTTACTGTCATTAAGTAGAGAGGTGGGCTCTGGGAGAGAAAAAAGAAGAGCTGTAATGCTGTCTTCAGCTGTTAACCAAAGGGGGTGAGTGACTTGATCTAGGCACCTTTACAAGAAGGCAGGTGAGAGACAAGCAGCATGACTGGAGGTCGTGCAGATGTACATGCGCAAGCCTCCATGGGCAGGGTGTTTGTGGAGAAAAGGTGACTTAGCCTGCAGGGGCACCTGAATGTCTTCATTTTGAATCCTCGTTTTCAGGTAGAGTCTGTATTTGAGACTCTGGTGGAAGACAGCCCAGAAGAGGAATCCACTCTTACCAGTAAGACAAGCACGTATATACGTGCGTGCGCGTATGAGAGAGAGAATATGCTTGTCTGCATTTGGGGAGGCGGGCAAGGTATTGCCCTTGGGCTAGGAGGTAGAGTCACTGCCGCAGCCCCCTTTTGAATCTTTGTGCTTTCTTCCCCCTAGAGCTTGGCAATACCATTTCCAGCCTGTTTGGAGGTGGTGCCACACCAGATGCCAAAGAAAATGGTACAGATACTGTCCAGGTGAGCCCAGGATGGAGCCAGGGGAGCATGGAGGATGGCACCTGGGGGGCATGTAGTGGCAGCAGAGGCAAGGAGCTGGGGTGGACATGCCAGCTGCCTAGAATTTTGTAGCTGTCCACTTCCCTCTCCACCCATGGTGGGTTAACCATACTTCCCTCATGTTCCTCTGGACTCTGCGCTATTTTCTGTACTAGAGGTGCCAAAGCCCGTGTCGTCATCTCCAGACTTTTTTTCTTTGTGCAACTAGAGTGCTACAGTCCAGATAGCTCACTGACTCTTCATACCGTTGTTCTCTGTCTACTCCCAGCTGTGTCCTGAGCAGTGAACTTCTAAGCAGCCGAGGGGGTCTGGCATTGCTGAGGCCAGTCCTGATGCAAAGGTTATGCTTGTGACTGTTGGCCTGTGAGTGTGTCTGTGATTGTTTTTCAGGAGGAAGAGGAAGGCCCTGCTGAGGGGAGCAAGGAGGAGCCTGGGGAGCAGGCAGAGCTCAAGGAGGAAGCTGAGGCCCCATCGCAGGATACCTCTCAGCCCCCACCCCCTGAGCCTAAGGAGGATGCAGCTGCTGATGGAGAAAAGGCTGCAGGAAAAGAAAATGGGGAGAAGTCTGAGGCCCAGGTGAACTGTGGGCATAGGGAGGCCAGTGTGGGACCCAGGGGCTAAGGAAGCAGCTGCCTAGTTTGTCTCTGATCCCCTGGAGCTCTGCCCTGTGAAGAAAGTAGAAGGGCCTAGGCTTTTCCGGACAGCCGTGTCTTTACCCTCCTAGAAGCCAAATGAGAAGGGGGAGGCAGGACCTGCTGGTGTCTCTCCAGCCCCTGAGGAAGAAAAGAAGCAGAAACCTGCCCGGAAGCAGAGAACGGTGGAGGAGATTGGAGTGGAGCTGGATGTTCTGGATCTACCTGACTTGCCGGAGGAGGAGCTGTCTCGTTCCATGCAGAAGTAAGGGCTGTGAGTGCATGTGTGTGCATGTGTGAGGGTTCGGGATGACGCCCCTGGGAGGGAGGATGCTGTCTGACCCAGGAGTTCTAACACATCCTCTCTTCTCATCCCTGCCTCTCCATCACCTCACAGACTTCGGGACTTGACACTCCGAGACCTACAGAAGCAGGAACGGGAGAAAGCTGCCAACAGCTTGGAAGCTTTCATCTTTGAGACCCAGGTCGGTAGGCTGTGAGTCCCTCCCTGGGACTTGTGCTTGGGCAGGGCTGGCTCTTTGAGCCTCAATGTGTGCATGAGTGATGTGTGTGCCTCCCTAGGACAAGCTGTACCAGCCCGAGTACCAGGAAGTGTCCACTGAGGAGCAGCGTGAGGAGATCTCTGGGAAACTCAGCGCCGCTTCCACCTGGCTGGAGGATGAGGGCTTTGGGGCCACCACAGTGGTGAGGGGCCATCCCAGGACAGGGAGGGTGGACTGGGAGCATTCTCCTTCCTCTCTGAGGGCCAGACAGTGTGAGAAGATCTGGGGTATGAGGCCATAAAGAAGGACAAGGGTCTGAGTCCAGGCTGTCATGTCATCCGTTAACCCTGCTCCTGCTGCCACTCCCCCATCTCATCAGATGTTGAAGGAGAAGTTGACTGAGCTGAGGAAGCTATGCCAGGGGCTGTTTTTCCGGGTGGAAGAGCGCAAGAAGTGGCCTGAACGGCTGTCTGCCCTTGATAGCCTCCTCAACCATTCCAGCATGTTCCTCAAGTGAGCAGCCCTTTTGCCCTTCCTTTCATATTCACTCCTGCCAAGGCGCTGACTTTATCATCCGGTTAGCGTCACCATGTCTTTTCCCGTTCCCTGCACTCGTGGCCACACACCCACACCCCAAGCCTCTTCCCCAGCTCTCTCCCTCCTAGGCTGATTGTCTCCTCTCTGGCTTCCAGGGGGGCCCGGCTCATCCCAGAGATGGACCAGATCTTCACGGAGGTGGAGATGGCTACGTTAGAGAAAGTCATCAATGAGACCTGGGTAATCTCTGTGGAATTACTTACCTGGCACCATGTGCCATCTAGGCAGCCTGGGAAATGTGGAGAAATGGAGGCACAGCAGCCCCTGCCACCTGGCTTAGCCTCTAAGTTGGGAGGGCAAGAGATGTTTGCATTTGAGGTCGTATGTGATTAGTCTCAAACAAGGGGTGATAGCCACACAAGTCATCAGACATGGAGGAGCAAAATCAGTCAGAGCTCAGAAGTGGAGAGGCAGAAAGGGAACACTCAAGGGGAGCTTAGCTGTAGTTCTTCTCGAGTAAGAAGACATGGGCTGGACAGGTGTGTTTGGGGGTCCTTTGTGGAGAACCTTGAATGCCAGGCTGAGGCGTCTGCTTACCCCCATGGGGCTGATGGCCCAGGTGTCAGAGTGATTGAAGACGGAGGGATCCTGAGGCTGGTTGGGGGTACAAGTTCATCCGGGACGGAGATGTCGCCTCTCTCCCCGGCCAGCTCTGACCCTGTTCCTGTCTCACCCACAGGCCTGGAAGAACACAACTGTGGCTGAGCAAGCCAAGCTTCCCGCCACAGAGAAGCCTGTGTTGCTCTCAAAAGACATCGAGGCCAAGATGATGGCTCTGGACCGCGAAGTGCAGTATCTACTCAATAAGGCTAAGTTTGCCAAGCCCCGGCCCCGGCCCAAGGACAAGAATGGGACCCGGGCAGAGCCTCCCCTCAATGCCAGTGACCAGGGGGAGAAGGTCATCCCTCCGCCAGGTGAGGGCAGGGTGCCTGGCTCCGGGTTCTGTTGGGCTGGGAGAGGGCCTCCTTGCCCTCCTGGGGCTACATGTCACTCCTGGTTTCCCTCCAGGCCAGCCTGAAGATGCAAAGCCCATTTCAGAACCTGAGACAGTAGAGACTAGTGAGTTGGAGAAGCTGGTTGGGAATGTGGAAATTTCATTAGCCCAGGGGTCGGCAGGCACAACTGTTTCTGTACAGCCCATGAGCTAGGAATGGTCTTTACATTTTTTAAGGGTGGTTTAAATAATAATATGCAGAGACCAAACATAGCCCACAAATCCTAAAATATTTATTATCTGGGTCTTTACAGAAAAAGTTTGCCTACCCCTCCAGTAGGCCCTTCCTTCCTTCCTCAGAGACTAACCTGTTCCTTCCAAAAAAGCAGGATCTGAACCAGCAGATGCTGAGCCTCTGGAGTTAGGAGGTCCTGGAGCAGGTGAGGGGAGAGTTGGGGTCTGCCGGGAAGCCTGGGGGGAGATCGCTGCAAAGAGCGGGCCAGTTTACCTGTTTCACCTGGTGTCGTTCCTTCCCCCCACCCCCCCGACAGAAGCTGAGCAGACAGAGCATCCTGCAGAACAGAAGCGGACTTTGAAGAATGACGAACTATAACCCCACCTCCCGTTTCCCCATCTTCCCCACCCCCTTCTCCCACCACCTCTATTTATTGTACGCCGAGGGTAGGGGGGTTAGTCCTGCCCTCGGGGGGCTGAGTTCCTTCTGTGTCACCTGTGGCTGGACATGTGGAGAAGGGAAAGGAAAGGACAGCTCATCGTTCTTTCTGGAGTACTTTTGTGGTTAAAACTGAACTGTTCTATTCCCCAATCCCACCCCCTGGCTCCCTCCCATCCAGGCCCTAACTTTGGGGAAAATCACTATTATGTCTTCATTCTTTGCCTGTGGGTAGGTGAGAGAATGGCAGGCAGTGATTGATTGAGACCTGGGAGCGGGAAGGATGTTGCGGGATGGTGGAGAGTCTCCCGTCTTCCCTGGCCATCCTCCCTCCTGTCCTCTCCCTCCACTAAATAAATGTCCGGTACCTACTTGGCAAAGGGGCTGTGGGGAGCCAGTGTCTACAGAGCCTTGGTTACCAGGCTTGGTGTCTGAGGACCTATTTCTGCTCTCTTTTCCCTCCAAGGTCTTCTCTTTCCTTACAGAAGCTGCCATCCCCATCTAGCTCTCTTCCCATGGGTTTCCATGGCTTCCTGTGCAGGTTGGGCAGCTCTTTGCCCCTTGCCCAGAGCCCTTTCATCCAGACTGGCTGGAAGTAAATCTAGGTCAGTTCCAGCCCACATGTTCCACCCCCTGGTTGCCAGAGTAGGCAGGGAGAAAAGTGCAGAAGAGAATCCAGCCACCTAGCCAGGAAGTGAGAGGTAGGAAAGCTGCCACCTGTGGACCGTGGGGCCCAGGAAAGCAGTGTGGATGGCTGGCATGGGGCACCAGCATCCTGCAGGCACCCTCAAAACTGGCATTTTCCCAGTAGCCTGGTACCCTGGGTCCCTTTGAGCTACCTGTTCCCTTCTCTCCTGCTATTCTGCCCCTCCCAGACAGAACCTTTGCCTCACCCCCCTGGGCTGACCAAAATGTGCTTTCTACTGTGAGCCCTTATCCCAAGACCCTGGGGGAAGGAGAGACCATGGTGTGAGTGTAGAAATGCCACCTGGGTCTCCCTCTCTGAGGCAGACCTTGCGGTGAAGGATGAGGGTGAGGACAGGCCGTCTGGCTTGCTTTGCTCCACCAGGATGGTGGGTCCCTTACCCACCAGGACTGACGCCCAGGGAGCCTGTCCTCCAGTATTCCGTCTGTGGTAGGAGCCAGGGCTGCCGCTCCAGCTACCAGGGCAAGGGGGTCCTAGTTGTGTCTGTCTTATCTCCCCCCACCTTTTTTTTTTTGCCACATTGGCAGAAATGGGACCTAAGGGTCCTACCCCCACCTCTAGTTTTGTGTGTTTTTGAGTTCTTCACTAGCAGTTGAGGCTGGTTGGACAGGTTTGAGTCAGACTGTACTTTGCTCCATTGTTAATTGAGAAACTGTTTCAATAAAATATTCTTTTCTATGGTGTGCTGTCATTTTTCTTCATAGTACTTGTTTCCTGAATATAAATAATGTGTTTATTATAGAAAATTTGTAAGCTGGAAGTTTGAATAAATTTCGTCTAATACTATCACCAAAAGATAATTATTAGCATTTTGGGCTTAGTTTTATGTAGTACAGATCCCTGGTGGCACAGTGGTTTAGAGTTTGGCTGCTAACCAAAAGGTTGGCAGTTTGAATCCACCAGCCACTCCTTGGAAACCCTGTGGGGGAGTTCTGCTCTGTCCTATAGGGTCACTATGAGTTGGAATCTGTTCAATGGCAGTGGGTTTGTTTAATGTATTGACATTTGTCCTGTCTATGTAGTTTTCTGTTTTTTTAAAGCACTGCATTTTGAACCATGTTTTAAAAACTCAAGAGGGTCAGTTTGATTCCTCTAGTTTCTGTCACCAGGTAGGCATAGTTAATGGCTTTGTGATTCACTGAACACCATCGTTTACTTAATCTTTGATCTGTTATTGCACACCTAGGGTGTTTCTGCTTCTCACTTACAATAACTACCTTTGGACATAAGGCTGTTTTCATGATCTCTTAGAG